TGGGAACAACTGGAGCTCTTGATTTTTTCAGTCGAGCAGCTGAATCTCGCCTTTTTGGAAACAGGTAAACAGAATTCATTCATGGGCCTCGCTGTTTGATGTTCTTGTGAATTATTTTACTATGGGTTAAAGCAATTTAATTCGAATTTTTGTTTTTTTTTGCTGCATTGATTGCCGTATTTTGAATAAAGATCTCTGCTTTGTTCGTTTTATTGACTGTGGATATGTGAACACTTCGTGCTTTTGGAAACGGTGATTCCTTGCCCTAAGGTGAAAAGGGGCGAAGAAATGGTAATTTAGGGTTTTTGATTAAGAATTTTGCCACTGTTTCAAGTCGACTTTGTGCCTGATGACATTCTTGTGGTTCCCTTTTTTGAAGATTGGGAATTTTGGTGTTGGGTTCTGCAAAAAGCCCTATATTTCAGTTTCCTCCTTGTGGGTGTGTGTGTGTGTGTGTGTGTGTGTGTGTGACTCGGTAAATTGTATTATATTCTCTTGGTTGGCTACAAGCTAGTGTTGCTTCTATTTCTAAGTTATCAAAGATGATAGTTCATCAACTTATGACCGCTAAGATCTCAAAATTTGTGGTTGGGAAAGAATTTAGAAAACTTTATTTTCTTCTTTTCTTTGATTCCTCATGATGTTTTAGAATTGCAAGTGTCGGGGATAATTTTCGTCTTTGGCCTTATTTTGTTTATCCGAGTGCAAATACTACCTCTTGGATTGTACACGTTGTCAGTACAATCCGCAGTGGAATTTGTGAATGCTGTACACGAACTTTGATCATGGAGTTGTTAATGCTTTGTGGTTTTGAAGATTTCAAATCTTCAACTCTCTGTTGGATAAAGCATGGCTTTCTTTATGATTTTTGGGAGCATAAACTTGTCTGAGGCATGAAAAAAGGGCCTTACAATATAATCCATTGACATATGATTATGAAAAACAAGTTAATCTCTTTATGCTACTTGATTGGCCCGACAGTTGTGCTATAAAAATTTGTGGCTTCTTTTGGTTAATTTACTTGTTACATTTTGCTTCAATCATTTTGAGTTTGTGCCAGGAAAAAAAAGTCTGGGTGATTATATTGGAACTTATTGTAAGATCTTGTGTAAATTCTTCTTCAGAAATGTTTGTGCTGTACCCATTTTAACAGTTCCCAACTTCATCGGGCAGAGTTTATATACAGCAAAATATGTATCATTCTGAACATAAGATGATCTGCCTGAGTTTACTGTACTGTTCTTATTTTTACTTTTATTTTTTCCTTGCTAACCACAATAAATAAATTGCTTTCAGGTATATCGTTTTACTATTCTTCCTCATTATGCCTCTAATAATTGTTTGGAACCATATATTGCTTGAACTGTCTCATATGGTTGGCAGCCTTGGTGAGTTTTGCAATATCCAGTTTTTGAGTATCATTTTCTTTGACATGTTATTTTTCAGGATACCAAAAAGAGAATGCATGGGAAAACAGTAATCCGTTGCAGTCCTAAGGTTTGACTTTTGAGACATTATGACACTCGACGATTTCTTCACCTTAACCGAGATGAATAATGGACTCACGGCCCCATCTCGGGTTAAGGAACTCATGGCCATGATGCAGAAAGAGAGAGATTGTGATGTGAAAACTGCAGCCGACTCGACAAGGCAGAGGTCTGCTGTAGCAAGTGTTTTATCGTCAACCGAAAATAAAGAATGTCTTGATCTTTTTCTTCAGTTGGATGGCCTTCACTACATTTCTAACTGGTTAAAAGATGCCCAGACATCAAGTAAAGACACAAACGACATCTTTTTGGAAGAACACATCACTCATTTGTTGCAAGCACTTGAAAAACTGAACGTAGACTGTGAAAAAATAATCGCTTCCGAAATTCGGACAGTAGTCGAGGATTTCCTCGATTACAACAGTCGCCAAGTTCAGGATAAAGCCGAAGCGTTGCTTGAAAGCTGGAAAACAAAAGGAGGCAGTGATGATGCATTTCCTTTGGTTGTTGATAAAGCCGGAAGTTTAACAGATGATGAGGCAAAAGATATTATTGGTTGTTCAGACTCTTCTTTAAATAATATCGTACACGAAATAACCAGAGATGATAAGGTGTTATCTACGAGTTCAGATGTTGTCCTCAGCCATGACCAAATCGAAAACACCACTCACGAGTCGAAAAAGATCTCAGATGAGAAGCCTCTCGACCATCATGTTAGTTTGCCATCATCGCCCAAGGATTTTCATGCCCAGGGATCAAACCAGTCCGAGGACGTAACCGAACCGAGTCCTCGGAAAAACTCTAGTGAGGGCTTATCACGTGTCGATTCTGATGAAGAGGATGAAGGGTTTTGTGCAATTGATGCAAATCAGTACAGAGATTCGAGTGATTCCATACCTAAAGAAGGTGGTGGTGATATCAACCATTGCAGTTTGCCAGAATCCTCCAAGACAATAAGCTGGGGAAATTTCCTTTCAGGGATTAGTAATTTCGTGAAAACAAATGATTTAGCAGATAACCATAGTCCCGCCAAGAAGCTGACGGATAGGGAAGAATACGACCGGGCCACCAAAAGGCCCGATGTGGAAATAGACTATGGTATTGTGGATCCTCTGGAAGTCGCTCGGCAGGTAGCAATGGAGGTAGAGAGAGAAATCGTGGATTACAGGGAAAATAGCTTTAGTTCCACTGAGAAATTACCAGGAAGCAACAAAAGTTCACGGCGGGTTGACAGCCCGGACTCAGTGAGTGGTAAAAACTCCAAATCGCCCATGAACAAGGCTGAAGAAAAGTCCAGTTCGTCCAACGAGTCCTCAACTAGCTCTGAGAATCCTAACACAGATGGCACTCAAGACGTGGCAACTTCACAAGTAACAGAGGCAGCAGTAGCTCAAGAAGAAGCCAACACCATGGAAGAAAAAGTCGCTCGTAATTTTTTCGACCTGAATCAAGAAGTAACAATGTTAGACGACTGTGGTGATGCTGATGCTCATCTCGAAAATCAATTCTCATCTGCAGTCTCTGTAGTTTCTGCTTCCAGAGCAACCCCATCGGCATCTAAGCCGCCCGGTGGCCCTTTAGAGTTCGAGGGGAATCTCGGATGGAAAGGAACGGCCCGCACGAGCGCCTTCCGACCTGCTTCTCCTCGTCGGGCCGCTCCCGAGGGGGAGCGAAAGCTCGATTTCGATCTGAATGTGAGCGAGAGCATTGACGAATCTTCTGCAGAGGCAAACTCCAAAATAACCGGGCTTCTCGAGCTGGACCTGAACCGCACAAGCGAAGATAGCAGCGGTGGGCCTGTTTTGGATTGGCGGATAGGCTCGTTTTACCCACAGCAGTCGCCACCAGTTCAGCAGCCCACAACAAGGGGTATCGATCTTAACGATCGGCCTTCGTTTTTTGCTAATGTGTCTTCTGATAATAATAGTTCCTATATAATAAGCAAGTCATCTCAAAATCAAAATCTCTGTGACCCTGCAATATCTTTAATGGGTAAAAAGGTGGAGATCGAGCAGAGGGATTTTTTCGCTACCCAAACTATGCCCTCTCATCAAAACGGACGAAATTCAGGGGCCGGATTCGATTATAACATGGGAAGGATGGGAAATTTTATCGGGATTGGGCCTGCTGTCCCGTATGCCCATTCTCCTGTTTACGGCTACAGTAACGTCCCGCCCGGGCCCACCATGCCGTTTTCTGGCCAGGTTTACGGTCCCGGGCCTCATTCCATTCCTTACATGATGGGCTCGGCCTCTGGTTTGCCTGCTGCTTCTTTCTCTCAAACACCGTTTCTTGTGAACATGAACGGGCCAGCTATGGCTCCGAACGGGGTCGAGCCATCAAGAAGCAATTATGATCTTAACTCTGGGATGTTCTCGGAAAGTGGAAGTAGAGATCCATCTGGGCTTGGGCTGTTCTTGAACTCGACCAATGTCAGGCCCGTTGAAGGGCCCACTCCTCCTCAAGGCACCATGGGCTCATCCTTTGGTGCCAAGCGAAAAGAACCTGAAAACGGGTATAACGATCAATATTATCCTTTTAAGCATTTTATGCCGCATTGGAAACAGAGTTGATTTCGAGTAAGCCTTCTTCTTGGGATCGGATTATGTGATTTTATAGGCGACTGATAAAACACAAGGGAAGGGAGAGACCCGATTTGTTGACATAGTAGGGAGAAGGATTCTATAGAAACTCAAATAATGAAGGGAAATACGAGGTGCCGTTTGATTCCAGTGAGAGGATTACTTTAGAGTACAGAAGAGATAGGTATAATTGTTTGAACTGTTTGAATATTTTGGATTTTTACCGAGTGATAGGAAGTTTACGTAGGACTTCCCAATGATGTAGTACTGATCTCTTACATTATTCTGTGAAAACTGAAGAGGCTCTTTATAAGTATAGTAGCTATTGTCATTATTATGAAACAGATTGTGGCCGGGCTGTAAATAATTGCATTTTGGTACTTACATCAATGGGTTTTGCTTTCTTGTTTGCACCTTTTTAGGCTATGTTTGCACCTTTTTAGACTATGTTTGGTAAACAAATAAGCTAGCTTATAGCTTATTTGGTTAGCTTATAAGCTACCTGTATTCAAATAAGTCTCGTTTGGTAGGACGAGCTTTTCTAAAATGCTCGAGCTTATTTGATAAGTTTCCTTAGGTAACTTTTCAAATAAGCTAGTTGTTTTTTTTTATTCCAACTAGTTTATCAGTTAATTTTACCAAACACTTTTATCATATAAGCTAGCTTATCAGCTATAAGTCATAAGCTATAAGCTAAAAAATTACTGATAAATTATAAGCTAGCTTCTTAGCTAGTTTTACCATAGCATTAATATTTTCATGTTGTATGTGTATTTTTAATGTTTTCTCGTGGCACAAATTGTGGATACAAAGCATGAACTATTGAGATCTACTCCTGTGGTTATTATTGTGATTGAGTTTTGTTTAAAGGGCGATGCTACATTCCCGTTGCAGACCATTCCATCGAGGTTTGTAACCGTTAGATCGATTATTATTGTGATTGGGTTTCATTTAAAGGGAGATGCACGGTCCGCTACGGAACCATTCCGTCGGGATTTGTAACCGTTAGATCAACTATCCCCGACAGTTACAAGATGATCTAACGATTACAAACTCTAACGGAATGATTTTGTAACGGGACGTTGCATTTAATGTATCCATTTTGCTAAATAAAATTATTCTCGGGAATGGACAAAAAATTGGAAGTCTCTGAAAATTATTTTTATAGGTAAACTTGTACCTCGAGATAAATAAATATGTTCGCACATTTTGACTACAGATGTTCATGAGTGCAAAGGAGTAAAAAAATCTCAACATAAATCAGCTACAAGTACATTTATATAGTTTAATTCTGAACTTCATAATTTAAAAAAAAAAAAAAAATCCAAAAAGAGGGCACAGCCGTTTCGGGTGCCCGCCCGAGGCCCGAATAATTTGACCCGCTCATTCAAGCAGATTACACTTTGGAAGTCGGAACTACCGCCGCTTGTACCTGCAGAGTAAAACGAGTTGCAATGATTAAAATACCAAAACAACAAACTTAAAATGAATGGCCACACCATATACAAATCACAACACAAAAATTATTAGGCACAAAAGGTTTGATAGTTCAACTGACATCATAGATGAACAAATTAAATGAAATCAAATGTCTGCAAGTAATATTCGTACCGTGACTTGCTCTTGAACGAGGATTTCCTCTTCCCGCCACCTCGAGCAGAAGTTCTTTTCTGCCTTTTCTCGCTCATGTCGCCCTCGAAAAGCTCCTGCATCTCTTCTGATCTCGATTTACGAACTTGGTTGGGTTTCTTGACGGATTTCTTCACGATTTTGCCAGCCTCAACAGCCCTTTTGGCGGCCTTTACTGCCTTCGCTCGGCGATAAGCCACATCAACAAGAGAAATTCCTGTTTTATCCTCCTTGCTTTTCTGTTTTCCCTGGTCAGTTTCAAATATTAGCTGTTAGAAGCTACTTGAGTAAGCATGCACTCATTGATTTTGCATATTTATGGATGTATTTATTATATTATATTATATTATACTAACTAAAAGGAAAAGGTACATCAACTACTAAGTAAATTTTTTATCCCTGGCACAATTTTATATGTCAAGAATGTTAGCAATGAACTTCAGTAACAATACAACATAGAGAAGAGGAATGCGCGTGCCTTAACTTCTTCTTCTTCCTCTAACATTTCTCTCGCTGCCTCCAATTTCCTTCGCTTTTTCCTAGGCAAATTTTTCTAACAAGAAAAGAAATCAGCTACATATGAATCAAATTTGTCCAGACAAATTATAGTGAAGGCATTAAGATGCAGTACCTCACGCTCTCGTTTTCTCTTTTCCTTCATCTTCAATTCTTCTGCTTGTTCAGCACTAATTGCCTCATTGCCAGAACCTTTTCTCTTACCCAGAGCTTCCTATTAAATTATTTGTAGATTTTGGAAAACCAAACACGAGAAATAAATTTTCTAGAAGAAAGTGTGACAAATGTATGGATAACCAAAAGCCTACAGAAACTCCAAGATAAAATGCTATTCCAGATAACTAATTACCTTCGCTTCCTTAGCTACAAGCTTTTTCTCCTTCTCTGTAACAAACCAAGTTCTTTTCGGCCTTGAATAAATTTCATCTTTGTGAGCAATCATGTTCTCCGCCTACAGAGTCAAGAATAAAACACATTGATGCACTACAATTTAAAGCTAGGGATGCTGAAAAGATTAAAGAAAAAAAGAGAGAAAAAAAAACCTTTGTTGCCTCCATTTCAGCTTTCCTTAGTGCCATTTCTTCCCTGAAACAAGAAAAAAATAAAAAATAAAAAAATAAAAAAAAAAAGAGAGAAGAAGAAAGAAAGGTATGTCATTTACATTTTCTTTGGAAATCAGATGACACAATGTATCATTTACCTTTCTTCAAGAAGAATTGAGGACACTTCGTCTTCCATTTGCTCAATCATTTGGGACCATCTCCTTATTGATTGCTCAGCTACAATCCGGCTTCTGAGCCTTGAACCAGCTTTCTTAACCTGTCATGATGGTTCAAATCATTCCGTATGTAATTTTTTGGGCCATAGTCTTAGTTATGTGCTTCATCTTAATTCATTGTCCAAGAAGCTCAAGTGTAATTTCATCCAACGAAGTTTTTCCTTCAAGAGAATACATAATACTTGCTCTAACTAAGTGATCAATGCCATGAAGTTATAACATTATAAAATCTGGGTTTGAATTGAAGGGCATGATTTTTTGAAGTCCCAAGGAAACAACAAACCACGAAAGAGTCCAATTGACACCAATACCAAAACGAGAGCAGAACTTCGCAGAGATTTTCAATCGAGCAACTGAACCTCCTAAAGTACACAAAACTAGACATATCCATAAGTTGAATGGGCGAGATGGAATCTTACTATTGCTTTCAAGAGAGACCGGTCATCATCAGTAACAAATGTAACAGCATAACCTTCTCTGCCGGCTCTGGCAGTACGACCCACTCGGTGTACATAACTGCATCAATATTACATATTCATAATTATACAATATCAGTAATATTTAGTTTGACTTGATGAAAATATAAAAGTAACAATGTTTTTAGTTTCGGAAGAGTCTGACACTTCATTTATGACTTCCCCATCGTATTTTTTTTTATGTCGAGAAATGGTCACAAGAGGTTTTTCTTTGAGAGGAAGGTTGTTATTTTCATAAATACACATATATATAACAGAAAGAAATGTATAAATGAATGTTGTCTCGAGATTGCATCTGCAAATGCCTCAATACGATTGTTTAATGATTTCCATTTTTTTTATAAAAATGGCTATAAGTTGTAAATGCGGAGCTGAATATAAATAATTGGTAATCAATTTGTAAATCATTGGAATAAATTACCTCGTAAGGTCTCGAGGACATGCAAAATTGATAACTGTCTGAACTCCTATAATATCAAGACCCTGACAAATTAAATACAAGAGTAAGATGGCAACAACATTTCAACATCCAGACTAACATGTATCTAATGACTGGTAAAATTAACGGAATTGGGAAAGGCATGGGAGTGAAAGAAATGGGTAATACTTTTCATAAATCCAATTTCTAGGGGTATGATTCAACAATAAACAATGGGAAATCAACCCATAATGGTGTCTCTACCAAGCACCACTCATTTCATTCCCATTCCCACTTCCCAAATCTTCATACGGAGCACCTAATTAGTTTAGCTCATGAAACAAAAATCTTATTCTTACACGAGCAGCAACATCTGTAGCAATTAGAAAATCCACTTGTTGCTTCCTGAACAGCTCCAAGGCCTATCCAACAAATCATGAACAAAATACTTCAAGATGCAGAAGTGAACCACTTACAAACCCAAAAGAAACTAACAATGAACATGGGAATCTGGGAGGGGCTTACATCAAGACGCTGGGCCTGGGTGAGGTCTCCATGAAGCTCAGCTGCTTTAAATCCAGATAACCCAAATAAAATTTTCAATCTATGTGCTGCCTTCTTGGTTCCACTAACAATATAACACGAAATTAGTTAGCAGAAGAACTTAAATTGGATTAGATGCTGCAAAGAATTCCGGCATCTATCTGGGTACAGCAAATATTATTCGGAAAGCAAAGCTGTTAATATAATTATATAAGTAACATAAAACAGAAAGGAGAGTCTAAGTTGGTCAGTAATTGCATTCAGCTTACACTTCCATTATGTGAACATCTAATGTGTTCCACTGTATTTTATTTTGCTTGAGCTATTTGCATTTCTTAAAGTAATTTAGACCTCTCTCAATAACTGATTACTTGGTTGAAATCACCTTTGAATTTTTCTCTCTTTCAATGTTCATAAGAAAATAGTGCCAATATATAGCATGGGCAAGGAGGACAATGCATAAAATCTCAAAGCCGAGCTCAATAGAAGGGCCTCTTCTATGGTTTACACTCATTGTAGGTTAGTTGAAAAACTGCCCACAGTATATTCATGCACTATTTGCCCACAGTATTGTCATGTTGGATCCCTATATGCAACAGAAGTTTTTGATATTCCACATCATTGATGTTTATGTGTAGCCCCTCATCAGTGTTTCCGTAGCTAAGCTAAGTTCCATTTAAGACAGGCCAAAAACCTGAAAATAATCACTTTAGATGTGAATGTTTTGGAGCATAATGCAAGAAGAACTGCTTCTTGATTCCCTTCGAGCGTTCGGCGTATACGAACCACCCTGCATACAAGGCGACAAAGACAAATTTCGAAAAGATAAATTAGAAAAAATAAAGTGTCATCAATATAACCTTGAAGTTCAGCCTATGTTTACGATTCATAGAAAAGGAAACGCGGAAATTGAAGTAGTTTGGCAAAATAAACTACTGTGACTTACTCCTCAGTTAATGCTGATGGCCGCTTTGTTGATGGATCAGCTGATAAGCGGAGTGGTTTAACCAGAGAGAGCTTGACAAGTTCATCAACTCTCTCGGTCATGGTTGCTGAAAATAACATGGTCTGCCTCCTTTTAGGACACAACTTCACCTGGAGAATAAACAATTATGAATTATCAAAACATAAAGTTAGGAATAGATGGCACGTCAACATCAAAGGAAGCTAAAAAGACAACGAAATAGAGCATAACAAACTCAAGACAGACTGACACACAAAACAGGAAGAAGTTTATCAAATGAAAAGAGACAGACTCTCATCAAAACCGGCTATGTTTCCAATATGGTGAAACGAAATAACTGACAGAATTTCCTGCTGAAAAAGAAAATGCCTGAAAGTTTACCAACTCATGAATTTCTGCACTGAATCCAAGCTCAAGAAGCCGATCAGCTTCATCAAGTATCAAAACTGCAAGTTCGTCTAGATGTACTGACATAGAGTTGCGCAAGTGATCTATCATGCGTCCTGGAGTAGCAACAACTATATCCGGAAGTGATCTCAAGGCTGCTTCTTGCACCTATAATACATCAGATTAAGAAGAATACAAAAAGAAACTCTAGAGGCAGCAGAAGCTATAGCACCAAGTACCAACAGCTGCGTAATTGAGAGTCTTCATTGACATTGTTCTCAACATCCCATTAACCAGCACTATCTTATATGAGATATTCACTAGGAACACAAACTCATTATAATACATGCCAAATATCATGCATTCGCATCAACGCATTACACAGAGCCAACAAAAGCCATACGCACTAAATAGAGGGGGAATAGGAGCCTCATAAGACCTTACCTATTTCTACAGTCTTATTAGGGCAAATAACCACTCTGAATTAACTTTTGACTCTGCATGAGCCAAAAGTAACATCTTTTACAATTAAATAAACCTAATTACATCAAGATTTCGACACTAGTTTCATGAATGAATGGCCAGAAGCAATTATTTAGCAGCAGGTTATAATCCTACTACCCACTAATAGAACCCTATCCATCTTTTCTTCTCCATTCCATGCCAAAATGTACCAAGAATGACACTTGTCCTAATTCATCCAATGAGCTGAATTTCCTAGAACCTGAATCAACATTTCCCAGTCTAACAACATAGAACCACTCAGTCACAGATGTGGAGCTTTCAACACTAATCATATGCATCTAAGTTATGAAACAACAAAACCGTTAGCCTCAAACAGAAATTATAATTATGCCATGTTAATTACAAAATGTAAACTAGTATAGATTCGCAGTAAAGATGGTAATTATTGCTCTTTTCATCTAGTTTACAAGGACATCTTATCCATGAAATATACTGACACTGACCAGCTAAAGATGTCACACAAACAAAACCATGCATATCAAGCCTCCACCAAAGATCTACTTTAATTTCAAAAGATGTCAAATGTCGTAAAGGGAATACAAACCTTCGTTGAAAGACCACCAACGACCAGACAACATCTAATGTCGGTCATAAACTGAGCAAGTTTGCCAATCATACTATGAATCCTGAAAGAATAAGAATCTAGCTTTAAAGAACCACAATTATAGAAGAAATTAGGATACAAAGAAGAAAAATAAATAGACTTTGGTGAAATTATATTAAATATGCCAAGCTTAAGAAAAGCGGCTTCCATCAAGATGTCCGGGTCACCACAGGTGAGAGTGCAAGCAATAACAAACAAATAGCAATGCAATAGCGATTCATGAACAAATTCCTACATATTCTGATGACAGTTAAAGACACAAGTTTACATTCTCAACAAAATTTTGGGGCACACAGGGAAAACTTTACCGTGTTCTGACATATAACAGGAATAGGACTTCTTATGCACTTCTAACCATTACTCGCCTGTAAAGTTGCTTGCTAATTTCATTACTTAATACTATTGCAAATAGAACTTTACCATTCCCCCTATTTTCACCAATTCACTCTTCTTGTTCATGAAGAAGACTCATATAGTTTACGAATCATCAAGGGTAGAAACAAACGTGAAGCCTAGATCTCAATGTCAGCTTGAGAAGGAAAAGAAAAAAATGTAACAGAGAGCACAATTGCACCTTTCCACCAAGATTAAATCCTAGGCATGGCCAGAAGCCCAAAAAATCTTAAACCTTTCAATAATGAACAAAGAAACAGACCCCACACAGAAAAAATCATTTTAAGGAATTAATAGTTATAAAAAAAATAATGTAAAATCACATATCAACTCTGTAGGACTCAGAACTTACTGAACAGCCAACTCCCTCGTTGGAGTGAGTATTAACACCCTTATAGCCGGCCTATTCTTTGGCCGGAAAAAAAGCCTCTCTAATGTTGGCAGAGCAAATGCAGCTGTCTGATATTACAAACAATATATTTCATTAGTCCTACAGTCATCAAGCTGGTCTTTTTCCACGAGAATCACAAAAAGGTATTATGTATTTCCAAATTAACATAATTGTGAATAGAGAAATATAATAAACTACAGAAGAAATGTAAGGAAAAACCAAAAAGTTATAATCTTAGAGCTACCTAAAGCAAGTGGGCAGCACTATCAAACTAATTTCAGAGTGAAATATATATCTAGTGCTCTAAGGGACTTGCTATGCTTTACGAATCAATGAGAGGTACAATTTAAACAGAACAATCAAATTCAAATGGTACTTGTAATGAAATATACAAATTGGACATACCTTTCCGGAACCAGTGATAGCACTCCCACAAATATCGCGTCCAGTTAAGGCCAATGGTATACAAGCAGCCTACCCATAACCAGACAAAACATCAACTCTCAAAAATGTTGAACCAAATGAAACTATCTTAATAACAAAAAACGAAGGGAAAGTGAAGAAACAAAAGGAACCTGAATGGGAGTGGGTTTACTGTAACCCAGAGCTTCACAGGCCCTAAGCAACGGCCTGGAGAGATTCAAATCCAAAAACGAATTAGCATGATATGTTACGCCCTCCACCGTTGCAAAGAAAGGTTTATCATTCCCACTCGTAGTAGGCACATCATCCTCCTCTTCCGGCCTATATTCCTCCTGCACCAACACCAATTAAGCCAGAAAATAGAAACTATGAATTAAATTACAATAAAAAAATAAGTGTACCACCATGAATAAACAAGCACTTTATTAGCAGAGCATTAGTTAGAAAACACTACCTGGAGGTTAGGTTCGGAATCAGAATCGCCGGAGCCATTATCTTCGCCGGCGGCGGCGGTGATGGGAAGCCGCTCGCGAGCTTTGCCGATTTTGTAGTCGATTGAAGTGGTGCTCCGCCGAGAGTGTTCGTCGGCGACGGACTCCGAGTAGGAAGAGAAGTCCCACGGCGACTGCGCTTTCTTATTTTTGGGCACTTTTTCTTCTTTGCGCTCGGATTCCTGTGCTTCTTCTTCTTCTACTTCTTCATCGGATTCACTTTCAGATTCATTTTCGATTTCCTCGTCGCTGGGAGCTTCAAAGACGAATTCTTTGCTGGTAGCCATGGCAATGGCCGCCTGTGCTGAGCTGCAGTGGGGGCAGAAAGAGGGTTTTAGACTCGGAAAGCTGTCTCGAGTGGGAAAATTGAAAGGGGTTTTTGCTTGCCCTTTTCTTAGCCCTCCCATTTTTGAGACTTCGGCCCAGCATAATCTATATGCCTGTTGGGCTACGAAATTATATGCTATTGTTGGGCTACGAAATCATCTCTATTGGGCTTTACGAAGTCGATTGTGGCCTTTCTATAGCCTGCGTGCATATATCATTTTCTTGAAAAACACCCCAAGAGATAACAAGGGCCCGGTACATGAATCTTCACATTACGTGGACATCATGAATCTCCAAGATATTTTGACTATACCATTTTTTATTATTTATAAAAGTTATAGATGTTGTCTTCTTCTTTTGATTTTATGTAATGAAAATATTTAGCGTTTATTAATATTATTTAAAATGTAATTAATTTCAATTATTTAAATAAATTTAATATCAAACATTGTGCACAAATATTTTCTTAGAATTTAATTTTTATAAAATAATCAAACATCATTGATTTAGGAATTGTCAAAAATTAAATCCCTTCTATAATCAAGATATTTTTCTAATTTGCAACGTAAGCCATTATAATTAATTCAACATACTATGAAAATGTATCTTAAAAGAATTTCATTATGGAAATAAATCAAAATAAAAAAACGATAAAAGATAATCATGGTTAACAATTATACAAATAAATCACATGCTTAAATTCTAAATAATAGTTAATATATTTTAATTTCAGCAATTAGTAAAATTATTTAATGTATATGGTCTTTATCTCATAAATAGTAAATTATAATAATTTGATTAACAATTTAATTTTCCTTTTATATAATGAAGAAAAAAGATTAACAAATATTTTTACATTATCCTTAAGAGTATGTTTATTGGTGACCCAACTCTAGGATCACCTAGGTAAAGACAACAAAAATAAAAATAAAAAATGAAAGGTCATCAAAATTGCGAAAACCAGGCCACATTGTGACCTTGGGTTGCAACCCAATTGTAATACTTGTCCTATTTCTATTAGATAAGTGTATTTTTCTTTTTATCAAATAAGATAAATATGTTAGATTGTGTTGAGTTGTGGATAAAGATATTTTGAATTGGACCGTTGAATAAGTGAAGGAGAGAGAAGAATTGGGTCATTGATAAAAATGGTCTAATGATTAGATCACATTAAATTGCAAATAATATATAGTCAATAGACCATGCCACGCGCTATGATGCCCGAGTCTTCACTGTGGGGACTAAGAGCATCTCCAATGCATAAATTTTGTTATCACATAAATTTTACGAATGTTAATTATTTAGACGAATTGTGTACCATATAAGATATTTGTTAAGTTCACAACTTTAAATCTAAAAAGTTATTTACAATGCACAATGTGATCAAACATAATATTAACCACTTGACAAAAATAAAAAAGTAATAAATAAGAAACAAAAAAATAATAATTAATTAAATATTTTGAAAATGGTAATAATATTTGTCTCTCATCTCTGGTTGATTAGAATCTAAAAGAGAATGTGGATGAACCACACTCTTCTGTACATTGTGGACATTAATTATGTCCAACTCATCACTACATTTGTTATTACACTGTGCATTATAGTATTAAAAGTGGAGACATTGTTAAATTAATTAATATAAAGTGTAATTTATTACAACCACATCGTAATATTGGAGAGGCTCTAATGACATAAACAAACTCAAACTAAAAAATTCAAAATATATCCAATGCAAAACAACAAAATACTACGTTGAAATACAAAACAACCAATAAAAATATAGTAGGGTTAATTGCATAAAAAAACTACCACCTTTTGTTTAATTGCAAATAGAATTCAACATTTTCAATTTGGCAAAAATACCTAACTTTTATTAAGTGTTGCAATTTTGTCTCGTCCGCCAGACCGCCGCCGCCAACCGCCACCCGTCGCCGCCAACTTTGCCGGATATTGGAAATTTTTATATGATCTTGTAGCTCTCCTCCATGCCAACACCATATTCGAGTTTCACGAAAAAATTTCGACGATAAGACGTCCGATTTTCCGGTCAAAGGTCGTAGATCTAAATTTTTTACGACCTTTGACCGAAAAATTGGACGGCTTATCATCGAAATTTTTTCGTGAAGCTCGGATATGTTGTTGGCACGGAAGAAAGCTACAAGATCATATAAATATTTTCAATATCCGACAAAGTTGGCGGCGGCGGGTGGCGGTTGGCGGCGGCGGTCCGGCGGACGAGACCAAATTGCAACACTTAATAAAAGTTAGGTAATTTTTTACCAAATTGGAAAGATTGAGTTTAATTTGCAATTAAATAAAAAGTGATGATTTTTTATGCAATTAACCCAATATAGTAATAATAAATGCATACAAAAAAATGTGTTTTGCCAATTAAAAAGAAAAAAAAAATTATGAACAATTAATAAATAGGTGAGTTTGCATTTGGGTCCAAAATAGACCAAAGTGTGGACTTAATTTATTTTTTTTAGAAAAATGATATATTGCCAACCTAGTGTACAACTAGGTTGACAACACAAGTATAAACATTCACTTGCAGTGGCGGAGCCACACCTTGTGGCTGGGGTCAGCTGACCCCTATGGATTTCAAAATTTTTAGTATAAAATACTGTTCAAACACTGTTTACTAGGTTAATGACCTCGCTAAAAAATATTGCCGACCCCGATGAAATTTGAGGCTGGCTTCGCCCCTGTTCACTTGTATAATTTTTTATTATTAATTTTATATGTGTTTACACTTGTGTTGTCAACCTAGTTGTACACTAGGTTGGTTATGTAGCATTACTGAATGCCACATAACTACATAAGTTAGACTAGGTCCACTTTTAATTTCAATGTGAAACATTTTGTAATACCATAACCCAACAGCCTAACCACGTCTTAATAAGCAGGCGATAACCAATCATAACATAACACGTGGCACCAAAACCCCTCATCACCGTCGGATTATCCACGCTACCAAATCCCAACCAATGGAAACGCTCGCTCTCGTGGCAGTATTCGTTAATTTCTGCAAAAATCTCAGTATATAAGCAAAATCCCTACTCCCTCACGTCACACCCACTGAAATTATATGAAAAATTCGAATTAACAAAATCTGAGCTCAAGAATTTCGCTGCAGTTCGTACAATGAGGAAGTGGACTATCCCTTCCGTTCTGTTTCTACTATGCCTTCTGTTTCTTCTTCCAGATCAAGGTAACTTTTCGAATGATTTTTCATTCAATTTGCTTAATTGTATGTTTTGGTTTGAACGTATTGGAATTTTTGATGGATTTGGAACTTTGTTCGGCGAAATTGTGCTGTTCAGGTAGGAAGATACAGGCGAATGCAGAGGAATCGGGTGCTCCGGTAGATCCGCCGAAGGTGGAAGAGAAGATCGGCGCTGTTCCTCACGGGCTATCTACTGATTCCGATGTCGTTAAGAGGTGATTTGATGCTTTAAAGATTTTCGAATTAGATGTTGTGTTGTGGTATGTCAATTTTGTGTTTATTGAGTTTGTCGTTGTGATTCAGAGAAGCTGAGTCCATGTCGAGAAAGAGTCTCCGCTCGAATGCCCAGAAGTTTGAGTTCCAGGCTGAGGTGTCGAGGCTCATGGACATTATCATCAACTCTCTTTACAGCAACAAGGATATTTTCTTGAGAGAGTTGATCTCGAATGCCTCGGATGTGAGTTTTTCGTTTTGTTGTGTTGGTGATATGTTCAGGAATTTTGAACTTGTTGGAGAAGATGAATTGAGTCTGAAACTTGGTATTTGTTAATTTTGCAGGCATTGGACAAGATCAGGTTTCTATCACTTACTGACAAGGAGATATTGGGTGATGGTGACAACACGAAGCTGGAGATTCAGGTTAGTTTTTACAATTTAATTATTTTGCTAAACTTGCCTATTAATGGAGATTTAAAAGAGTATGAACAGTTAATGATACTTCACTGAGTTGGCTCTTTGTGGAAGCTTAAAATGATTTTCAAGTCTTGAGTTGATTAGTTGCTTCAAAGTCGATAGTTAACCCCCTATAATCCATTGAGTAGTTGATGCAGAGTGGATAGTTAACCCCCTATAATGCATTGAGTAGTTATTGCACAGTGGATAGTTAACCCCCTATTATGCATTGTTTCTGAATTTTATTAGTGAATCTACTTTTTGGTGACTACAGATTAAATTAGACAAAGAAAAGAAGACACTTTCCATCAGAGATAGAGGTATAGGCATGACAAAGGAGGATTTGATCAAGAACCTTGGTACAATTGCTAAATCTGGGACTTCAGGTAATTTGTTAACTGTCCTTATGATGCAAATTTGTTGGCTGTGTTATTCAAAATGCTGTGGATATTTCTGCTGATTAATAGGTAAAAATGGCTTCTAATTTTTCATAATAATGCGTTGTCTGCAGCATTTGTGGAAAAAATGCAGACTAGTGGTGATCTTAACCTGATTGGGCAATTTGGTGTTGGATTCTACTCGGTTTATCTAGTGGCAGACTATGTTGAAGTGATTAGCAAACATAATGATGACAAGCAGTATGTCTTCGACCCTCAGTAGTCTATTTAGTAGGCCACCCCTATGATGCTTCTATACTCAATATTTACTTAATTGTATTTTTTGAAATTGTAACCACTTTCAGGTATGTATGGGAGTCAAAGGCTGATGGAGCTTTCGCCATTTCTGAAGATACATGGAATGAGCCTCTTGGTCGGGGAACTGAAATCAGATTGCATCTCAGAGACGAAGCACAAGAGTACTTGGATGAGTACAAACTGAAGGTTTGCTGACTACATATGCTTGTTAATTTTTCTGATGCTCAAAGAAATGACACAAATATATAAATACATTCACTTACTGTGTGTGATTATGATTGACCATGACCCATGATATGGACCCCATGTGCATAGTGTACTGACTAATGTGCTGATGACATTTTCTCAATGTTTTATCTTAATGATACTTTCTTTATCTCTATAGTTTTTTATTGTCTTGGTCACATTTTAACTTTTGCGGCATGCAATATTGAAACTGACTTGAAAAATTTTGGACTTCCTTTTATTTCATGCCTTTAGT